ATAAAGAAAAGAAATGTTTTTTTTAAAAAAGTTCAGGTTCTGGGGCTAGAGAAATGGCTCAGTGGTTAAGAGTACTGACTATTGGGAGGGGTTGGAAGGGAGGGAGTGGGCATGGATTTGATCAAAACACCTTATATGCATGTATGAAATTCTCGATAAAGTTTTTGTAAAAGTTAAAAAAAAAAGAGTACCGACTACTCTTGCAGAGGACCTGGGTTCAATTCCCAGTACCCACATGGTGGCTAACAAATGTCTGAAACTCCAGTTTCAGGGGAATTCAACATCTTCTTCTGATCTCTGTGGCATTGGACAACATGAGCGCACCTACCTACATGCAAGCAATACACTCATCACATAAAAATAAAAATAATAAATAAAATATTTATTTTAAAAAATCCAGGTTCCAGCTGTGTGTTGGGCCCACATTAGCTAAATGACTTGGCCACTCTCTTCCTTGCTGTTTCCACATCTATTCATCCATACATTGCATACATCTGTACAATGACAATACACAACAATGGGCTGAAAGCCCTCTCTAAACTGTGTAGTTTCCAAGGTGAAGAATACAGGCTTGATGGAATGATGTTAATAGAGGTGATGTCACCTCTGCTGCAACCCAAATGGAACTAAATGGAGGGACATCAAGTCATAGGATGTGAGATTTATTTTATTTTTAATTATTTATGTGTATATGTATTTGTATGAGTATGTGCACCATGTGAGTGCAGTATCCACAGAGGCCTGAGGGGGCATCAGGTCCCTGGAGTTAGAGTTATAAGTGGTTGTGAGCCACCTGACATGGGTGCTGGGGAGCTGAACTCCAGTCCTCTGCAAAAGCAGCAATTGTTCTTAACCGTTGAGCCATGTCTTCAGCCCCATGGAACCACTTTGTTTTTTGTTTTGTTTTGTTTTGTTTTGAGACAGGGTCTCATTATGTAGTCCTGACTGGCCTGGAGCTCCCTATGTAGATCCGGCTGGTCTCAAACTCACAGCCTGCCTCTGCTTCCCAAGTGCTGGGACTAATGGCATGTATAATCACTCTCACGATCAGACATTTTATTTGTTCTTTTCTAGTGGAAAAGAATAGAACCTTACTCATGTTTAATGCTGCCTTCTTCACTCAGCTCTGGCAGAAATCATGATCCAGGAACAGTGCACACCCGCACTGTGTCTTTTAGGGCTGGAGAGATGGCTCATTCTGTAAAGTGCTTGCTATGTATGCATGAGGATCTGAGTTTGATCCCCAGCATCCTCATAGAAAGCCGGGTGTAGTAGTACATGCCTATAATTCCAACAGAGGCAGAGACAGGAGGCTGTCTGGGGTGATTCAGTGAGTTCCAGGTTCAGTGAGAGACCCTGTCTCAGAAAATAAGGTAGAGAGCGATTGAGGAAGATGCCCAATATTAACATCCAGTCGCCACACACATGCACACACACAAATATCTTTTTATATTATATTCATAACATAAAATGGGTTTCATCCTGATGTTCAGATTCTCTATGTGAGAAGATACATGTAACAATTGTCTTTCGGAGTCTGGCTTATTTTGCTTAACATAAGAGTCTGTTTTCCGATTCATTTTCCTGGAAATGGCACAATTTCATTTTTCTTTATGGCTGAATAAAACTCCCTATTTACATATTCACATTTCCTTTATCCAACCATCAGTTGATGGACATCTAGGCTGATTCCAGAATGGAGTCAATATTTTTCAAAATCAAATGTCTTTCAATATACGAGCAACAAAACAAGAGAAAATGATGCCGGATTTATTCAACCCTCTCACTGCACCCCCGCCCCAAGGCTCAGGGAATACCTCAGAAGAGAGGGCAGAGTGTAAGAACTGGAGGAAGGGGTGGAGTGCTGTGGAATGTTGTCTTCCAGGCATGACATCTCAGCAGCTGTGATTACCAGAACAAGACCCACATAAGACTGGTCCATCAGCAAGCCATCAAAGGGCTGGAAGAAGGCTCAGCAGTCAAGAGCACAGGATGCTTTTGCGGAGGACCCAGGTTCAGTTCCCAGCACCCACATGGTAGCTAACAACTGTCAGTAACTTCAGTTCCAGGGAATCTGACACCCTCTTCTGGCCTCTCCAGGCATTGCATGCTACAGGCATACTTACATACACACAGGCAAAACCACATATTTTTAAAATTCCCATTGTAGAGGAGGTAGGGGCTCGCAAGGAACTCTAAGTAGTTAATGAATCTTTTATGTCAGGAAACATAGCCACAGAGACTTAGGGGTGGGAATTTTCTGGGAGGTGATCAAAGCTCATTGTGTGTAATACACTTAAGATTTGTGCATTTGGGCCAGGCATGGGGGCACATGCCTATAATCCCCACACTTGGGAGACAGAGACAGGCAGATCTCTGTGAGATTGAGGCCAGCCTGGTCTACATAGTGAGTTCTAGGCCAGTCAAGGCTACAGGGAGACCTCTCAAAAAAAATAATAATCTGTACATTTGGGAGCTAGAGCCATGGCTCAGTCATTAAGAGCACATACTGCACAACCATGAGGACAAAAATTTGGATCCCAGCAACTACATAACAAGCCAGGTACCCTGCACATGACTATAACCCTAGCTCTGATGATGGGGCATAGACAGGAGGATCACTGGGACTTGCCAACCTAGTTGAGAAAACAAAAGCCTCAGGTTCAGGAGAGACCTTGCCTCAAAGGAATAAGCAGAGAGTCATAGAGGAGGACACCTGATGCTCTCTGGTCACACAAGGACATGCATCCACACACACATGTGCATACACTCACAGACACAGACACATATATACACATAAATAGCTAAACATTTGTGTATTTAAGTGTATGTAAACACTACATCATTTTTTTTCTTTTTTTGGTCTTTTTTTTTTCTGTCTTTTTGAGACAGGGTCTCCCTGTAGTCCCAGCTGACCTGAACTCACTATGTAGACCAGGCTGGCCTTGAACTCACAGAGATCCTCCTGCCTCTGCCTCCTGAGTGCTGAGACTAAAGATGTGTGCCACCATGCCCGGTTTTACTTCACTTTTTAAAAAGAATGTTTATAGTAAGTTATTTAAAAGTTCAAAAAGACAAAAAAAATTGGAATCAACTCAAGTATCTTATAACAGGGATTATAGTTAATAGTGTGTGTTTCTATACCCCAGAACCACTAAAAATGACATTCTAGAAGGCTGTCTATCAACAAGAAGAGATGCTCTTGACATTTAAGTGATACGGAACATCACCAAACAATTGTCATATGAGCTCAAAATTGATCTGGAGTTGTTTTGTTTTGTTCTTATTTTTTCCAAAGGAAAACTTGAGACTACCTTGAAAGATCTAATTCTAGATTTTTCTACCTTTTCTACATTGAGCATATACTCATGCTTTTTTCTTTAAAAAATTTTGATTTATTTAATTTTATATGCATGAGTGTTTTGCCTGCTTGTATATAAGTGCACCCATGTTGTGAAATGCCCATGGAGGCCAGAAGAGGGCGTCGGATCCCTAGGAACTGGAGTTACAGATGGTTGCTCACCACCATGTGTGTGCAGAGAATTGAACCCAGGCCCTCTGAAAGAACAGTCAGTGCTCTTAACCACTGAGCTATTGCTCCAGCCCCATACAGATACTCCTTGACATATAAGGGGATAATATCCATATAAACACATCATGAATTTAAAATACCTAAGTAAAAAATATATTTAAGGGGCTAGGAGATGGCTCAGTTGGCAAAGTGCTTGCTATGCAAGCATGAGGATGTGAGTTCACCCCCCAGGTGGTGCGACGGCAGTCTCAACACTGAGGAAGTGGAGACAGGTGGGTCCTTGGGGTTCAGTGGCCTAATTAGAGAGCTCCAAGTTCTAATGAAAACCCTGTCCCCGAAAACAAGGTGGGGCTGGCAAGAGGGCTCAGTGGATTAAGGCACTTGTTACCAAACCAGACAACCTGAGTTCAATCCTTGGGACTCACACTGTGGAAGAAGAGACTGACTCCTGCAAATTGGCCTCTGACTTCTATACACATGCATTAGGGCACATGCACACACATAAATGAATACGTTTAATTTTTTTAATGGTGGATGAGTCCTGAGGAATGATACCCAGTGTTGACCTCTACCCCCCACACACCATATGTATGTAAATATGCTATATAATTTAAGAAAAATGGAAGAATAATTTTGTCAGAAAGTCAACTTAGAGGCTAACTATTCTTTCCAAATACAAAACTCACATCTGAGCCTAGGTTTTTATTGTTGTTGTTGTTGTTGTTGTTGTTGTTGTTATTGACAGGATCTCCCTAGTCCCAGCCTGCCTGGAAGTCACTAGTGGACCAGGCTGGCCTCAGATACGCCTGTTTCTGCCTCCCAAAGGCTAGAACTAAAGGCCACCTGGCTCATCACACCCTTTTGCTTTAAGCCAGACTCACTTTCCTAGGTCAGGAGAGTTGAAGAGGTGTGCTTTGTGGGCCGCCTCTGACTTCCACCTGAGTGCTGCTGTCTGGCCCTCTGGGGACTAGACCCAGGCTGTGCCAGGGCTTCAAGGCATTGGAAAGGAAGGGCCTGGCATGACCCATGTGTTCATCTTTCCTCTGACATCTAGGGAAGCTGAGCACAGCCACACCCTGGTATCTGCCTGATTGTACTAGATTCGAACCTTATCTGTATTTTCTCAGAGCACAAACATCGAGTTGGACCTGTCCCAGTCCTGGGTATGTCATATACAGAAGAAGGACCAGGCAACCAATCAAGTCCCTTGACCCAAGCCAAAACTCAGGAAGCTACTTCATTCCCTATCCAACCAAGGGAAGCAGAGACCCAAGTCAGGACCCACAGGCATGACAGACCATTTCACACAGTGCACTGGGCTCAGAGGTCATTTGGGAAAAGGATAGAATTGCAATTCACAAAGCACACATAGAGAAGGGACCCAGCTGGCAAAGGGCATGTCTGCATAAGGAAAGAAACACCCATAGTCACCACAGCCCAATGGACTGTGGTCCTGTCCCGTACTTACCCTCCTCACAGTTGCTCCCAGTAAATCCAGGGCAGCACCTCCACTCAAGTGCAGTCACCGTACGGTAGGAAACTCGGTAGGTGGGTCTAATGAAAGTCCTGTAACTAACACAAGGACCAGATCAGTGGGGTGTGCACTCCTGCCCATCCACACCCCCAATCCCAAATGGATGCTGAAGGTGCTGTGTCCACATATCGTTCTGGAGGCCACCTGGACAGTGGACCTGTCCTCCCTGCTGTGTGCTCATTGGCTCTGTGGTCTTAGGCAAATCAGCCCTCCCAGCCTGTGCAGAGATTGGAAGATTCTTCAGGACTTCCTTTTGTTCTTTTTTAACCCCTCACTGGGGGATTCTAGGCAGGTGCTCTACCACTAAGCCACATCCCTTACTGGGAGATTCTAGGTAGATACTCTACCACCAAGCTACAACCCCAGCCTCTCACTGGACAATTCTAGGCAGGTGCTTCCCCACCAAGCCACAACCCCAGCCCCTCACTGGAGAATTCTAGGCAGATGTTCTATCATTGAGCCATGCCCTCAGTCCCTCACTGAGGGATTCTAGACAGTACTCTACTGCTAAACTGCACCCCAGCCTGCTCTTCATTTTAAGATGGGGTCTTATCAAGTTGCCTCACTGACCTGGAGCATACTCTGTATCATCTCCAGTAATCCCTGAACTTGCAATCCTCCTGCCTCAACCCCTGAGTAGCTGAGGTTGCTCACTCAGAGATGTACTATGAGATCCAGGTCACCCCTGCCTTTCTATAGCTCTCTGAATGTGGCCAGCATTGCTGGAAACTGTCTCAGGTTCTGGGTGAGTAGGATAGGGATATAGAAAAGAAAAACATCAGCAGAGTCCAAAGAACATCTGGACAGCCTTAACCGCAGAGCACAACCTTCCCTTGTTCTGTGGTTGACCTGGTGAACACACAACCTTGGGGTTGCACTGTGGTCAGACTCAGAAGAAGATATTCATTGTCAGCCAATGGGACCCTTCAGGAAGAGCTGAAGTATGATGATCCATACCTGTAATCCCAGCACTGGGAAGCTGGACACCAGAAGGGCCCCTGGGCTTTACTGGTTAGCTAGTCTAGCCTGTTTGCTGAGTTCCAGGCCAGTGAGAGACTTTTGTCTTGAAAAAGGTGAATGGCACCCAAAGTTGTCCTCTGGCCTCCACACACACACACTCTTGTGCATCTACCACCCCCATCAGCATCATCATAGTCATTATTATTATTATTATTATTATTATTATTATTATTATTATTTCAGAGAAAAAATATTATTACTGTGCGGAGGAGCCTTCACACAAGCCACGGTGTGTGTGTATAGAGATCAGAGGACAACTTTCAAGAGTCAGTTCTCTCCTTACATCATGTGGGTCCCAGGATTCGAACTCAGATCATCAGGCTTGGCAGCAATCACCTTTTCTTTCTAAGCCATCCCCTGGCCCTAATACAGCAATAGCTTCAGTGGAATACTCTCTGTGCAGAATGGTTATATATGCCACTGTAGAGTGACCATAAGACACAAGAGGCCCTTATATTCCTAAACTTGCATGTAAGGAAACTGAGGCATGGCCACAATGCTAGAAGGTGGCAGAAGGATCTGAGCCCAGACAGAATTGCTCCAGCACCTTGTCATTCTACTCAGGAACATGCGTCCTTCTAGAATCTTCCCAGGCTGATTTCAGGCCCCTATATAGCAGGGGGAGAGCCTGTCTGCCAACACAGTATCTTCTTGTCCCTCATTCTTGGATTGCGGTGCTGGTTGGTAGCAATGACACAAGCTTATATTTGAAAAGGTCTAAGCACTTTTCAAAGTACAGGCACGAGTTCCAACAGTGTGTGGTGTTGTTTCACCAGCAAAGCCACCCAACCCTTAGAGGTCAACTGGACATTCAGGTGGCTTTAGTAGACATCTGTGAGCTGTCTGCCAGGTGATAAAGAACCTCTGTCCCCTGCTGTGAGCATATGATTGGCAAACTAAATTCCTCCTTTCCCTCTCCCCTCCCTTCCCTTCCTTTTCCCCTTCCCTTCCCTCTCCTCCCCTGCCTATCCTTCCTTCCCTTCCCTCTTAACCCCTCTCTCTCCACTCTTCTTTCTGAAACAGGGTCTCACATAGTCCAAAATGGCCTCAAACTCACTATGTAGCCAAAATTGACCTTGAACTCCGATCCTGCCTTCACCTCCAGACTGCTAAGATGACAGACATGTGTCATCATGCATATCTGACTTGTGAAGTTTTTTTTTCAAATAAAGTCTTGCTCTGTGCCCAGGCTGACCTCAAGTTCCTGATCCTCCTGCCTCTGCCTCCTAAGTTCCAGAATTACAAACCTGTGCTGCCCTGCCTGGCTTAGGTGATAAACTTTCTAAAATGTAGATTCAGTTTGGCAGCTGCCTCACTCTAAAACCTTTTCCCACAGAATAAAGAGAAAACCTTTCAGAAGAAATAGAACGACACTGCCTGCCTTTCTGCCCTTGTCCTTCTGTAACCACCAGCAGGTGCCAGGGCTATGACCATGTCACATAAGCTGCCTGGATCTTGACCTTCCAACCTTCTGATCTTGCACACAAAGGCTCAAAGGCCTCCTTCATTCTCCCCCCGCCCCCCAAAAAACCAAAGACCTTTCAGGGCAGGACCCCAAAGTCCCCTCCTCTGTGAAGCATCTGGTCTCCCGATCAGAGTTAACATGCTCCCTCCTCTACTCCTCCTCCCTCCCTCTTCTACCCACCCCGCACATCTTGTAAGTGGGCTTGGTTACAAGCCATTATTGACACTCATTCCTGTGCCCAGTGAATGCTTGCCCAGAGTCTGCTATATGTGGATAAAGACAATGTAAGAAATAACAGAGCAGGATGAATGAGTGTACAGGATGGATCACACAACATGTGTGGCCTACGACGCACACAGGCACATGTTATAAAGGAAAATGATGACTTTGCTCTTTAGTCACTTGTTTCATGGGTTTTGTTTACATTTATATGTATCTGTGTGAGGATAGAAGCATGCCGCAGTGTGTGTATGTGCGCGCGCGTGTGTGTGTGTGTGTGTGTGTGTGTGTGTGTGTGTGTGTGTAGTTCAGAGGACAACTTTTGGGAGTCAGTTTTTTCCTTCTACCATGTGGGGCCCCAGGATTGAACTCAAGTCATCAAACTTGGTGGCAAACACCTACACTTGCTGAGCTGTCTCACAGACTGTTTGGGGTTTTGTTGTTGTTTACACAGTCTCCTGCAGCTGAGGCTGGCCTTGAGCTTTTGATCCTTCTGCCTCCACCTCCCCATGGCTGGGGTTACAGGCATGCCCCACCACACCTAGCAGCTACTCATTTCTGTAATAACAGATTTTTCCTTTTATTCAAGTACAATTTACAGGGGGTAGAGAGATTGCTCAGCAGTTAAGAGCACTTGCTGCTCTTGCAGAGGACCTGAGTTCAGATCCTGGCATCTACATGGTGGCTGACAACCATCTGTAACTCCAGTTTCAGGGAATCTGACACCCTCTTCTGGCCTCTACCAATACTGTATACACATGGTACACATACATTCATGCAGGCAAAATATTCATACACATACAATAAAAATGAGTAAATCAAAAACAATTTAACTACAATTTACGTACAATAAAGATGAATGTATTGTTTACCTCTAAACAATTCCTGTTCCTCCTCCCTGCCCTCAGAATTAACTATGCTGATCAGTTGTGCTGATTACTCTGATTGTGGATTAATTCTGTCTATCTGAAACTTTGGTCAGAAGATCTTGCAATATATCCCCTCTAGTGCCTGCCTTCTTTCCCTCATAATAATATCTTGTCTTTTTTATTACTAAAGAATAGTCACTGGGGAGGGCAAGAGGGCCTGCTGTACAAATATGAGGACCTGAGTTCAAATATCCAGCACCCACATAAAAAGCCAAGTGTGGCCCTGCACATCCTATAACCCCAGCATTATGTGGTATGGAGACAGGATCACTGGGTGTGCTGGCCTCCAGCCTAGCTCTAGGTTCAGTGAGAGACCCTGTCTCAAAGGAATAAGGTGGAGCGTGACAGAGCAGGACCCTCATATTCTCCTCTGGCCTCCCTGCAGAGGACCCGAGTTCCATTCCCAGCACCCATGTCAGGTAACTCACAACTAGCTCCAGGGGATCTGACGCCCTCTTCCAGCCTGTGCATGCATCTGCACTCACATGTACACACCACACACACGTACACACACACACAATTAAAAATAAATCTTTTTAGGCACTGGAGATATGACTCAGCTGTTGAGTGCTGGCTGCTCCTGCAGAGGACCTGGGTTCACTTCTCAGCACCACATAGTAGCTAACAACTATCCTCTTCTGGCCTCCGTGGGCATTGCATGACACAGCTGCATTTGCATACATGCAGGTAAAACACACACATAAAACAAAATAAAACAAATACTATTTTAATAAAAAACTAAAAAAGAGATTTGAAGGAGGTACTCCCATCAGGGGTAAGATACCAGAAACTAGAAAGAGGTCAGCAGGGGCCACCGTCTCTTGCCTTTAAAGAAGACATCTGTAAATGAAGCTCCTTGATGGGAGCCCAGGAACTGTCATGGTCCAGGTGCCACTTCTCATCCCTGAGACCTCATCCAAGGTAGCCTGGTGCCTCTCTCACTGGGCACATCAGCTTTCCAGGCTTCTTGGCCTGCCTGGTCCTCTTCTTCCTCATCCAGTACTTTCAGAAGTAGGAACAGGCTAGGATGTAGTGAGCCAGGCCAGAGACTCAACAGGAAACAGGGAGGCCATGTTCAGACTGTGAGGGAAGAGATTATTTCCTGTTTAACCGCAGAGGGCCAGCAGGAAAGGAGGGCAAGTCCCACTGCAGGATTGAGCCAGGAGTGGGTGTCTCAGGCCTCTGGTAGCTCCCAGAACTAATCGAATCCTTCCAAAGTATTGGATAGAAATGACAGCTGGGCATGGTAGCACAGGCCTTGGATCTCAGCACTTGGGAGGCTGAGGAGAAGGATTGTGAGTTTAAGACCATTCTGAGCCACCTAGTGAGACTTTGTCATGAAAACAATAAGATCAGGTGGGGGCTGGAGTGAAAGTTCAATGGATAAAGTGCTTGCCTTAAAAAG